GGTCCATTTTTTGGATTGGTGGGTGATTTTGTTTTGATCACAATATCGACGTGTAATTTCATATACTGATGTCCATGGGTTTGAGTACCCCTTGTACTCATAATAAAATTCATTTTCTTTTCAAAAAAAAAAAAAGTAATGGACACATCAACTGTTTTTTAATGGAAAGATCAACTTGGGCCAAAAACAATAAATAATAAGGATCAAATCAAAGATTTTTTAGTTTAGGGATCAAATCGACGTTTCATAAAATAATTGAGGGACCAAATTAAGAATTTAACCAATTATAATAAAGGTTTTAAGTAATGATATAGAAAAATTCTAATTCTAAATTTTCTAAACCTTGCAATTTTTGTTTTTTACATCAATAATAGATTATACAATAAAAAATAACTCAAACCCCTCCTAGTCTGTATCAATTTTAGAATTTATGTTTAAAATATCTAATATAAAAACTCAAATTCATAATCACTGAAATACTTTTTTAGAGGGCCACTAAACTTTGTTAAAGCAAATGATATATTAATTAATAAGAGAAAAGAAAAAATCAAGATATTTTGACATTAAAAATATTAGAATTGTCTAGTTACAATAATTAAATATATGAGATATAATATAAATTCTAATTTTATCAAATTTATTTTTCATATAATTATTATTGAACATCTTAATTTTTTTAATTAATAATATTAATTAAGAGACAAAACCCAACCGATTCTCCTGTACAAGGAAGGTCCTCATTTTTGTTATTGGACTATACCCGCCCAGAAAAGGAAATGATACAGAAACTGGGCCTAAGCCAGCAGATATACGTACCGCAAAGAAAATTGAGATGGGAACCCGACACAAACTGCTGCTTGCATATTACAAATACTCGTCTCCAGTCAAAATACCATTAAAAAAAAAAAAAAAACACTTGTCTTTCGTGTATGGGAGATATTTCCATGAGCCCATTGTCCTTCAGTTCGAAAACTATAGCTCACTGTAGAACAGAGACAGGGATGCCGAACGCCCAATATCCATTCAGCCCAAATTCCAAATGAGTTAACAATCTTTACTAAATTAACTGCGTCTGTGTCTTTCTAACAATTAAATTACCAACCTTTCTCTATGTAATAATGCATGTAGGTGATACAATTGAATTCAAGATGGACTACAATAACAACTGCTTAGTTGCAGTTATAAGTCGAATTGTAAGGTGTGGCCTTCAATTTAAAAGTTAAAACTTGAATTATCTCTCTTAAAAATGTAATATCCTTCATCCAAAAAAAAAAAAAAAACAAAAAAAAAAAGACTACCACAACAGTAGAAATATGCGCCACAACCCAAAAGGACAGGTATTCCTTTACCAATTCATAGAGCAGGATGCATTCATTTAAACCCAAAGCATCTGATTCATAAAATAGAATGAATGACATAAAATGCAGCAAAACACACTGAACCCAAAAATACATTATTTTAAACAAAAAAAGATATTAGTTCTCATGATAGTGATTAGACACGGTCCCAAGCAGACAACTCAATCTATATAAAAGCAATGCATCGCCTCTTGCACTACCCTTTCACCCCTGCATTTACAAAACTAACTTGAAAGGTAGTGGTGAGAATGTTGCAGCATGAGAGAAACGTAAGATGCAGAACGTGGTAAAGGATGGAGATTTAATTGCATAACAATCCAAGAATAGATGTAAACAAAGATATTAATTTTATTTTTTTTATTTAAGAATATTAATTTTATCAATTTTTAATTTTTTTTTATTTAAGAACATCAGCATTTATTTTTTTTATTTAAGTTGGCTTTCAATATTTCAATTAAAAAATTCATTTATCATCTCATTAATTCTTAAATAAAAAATTTTGAAAGTTAGTTTTCTTTAATAAGAAAAATTAAAAATTATCATTTTTATTTAAAAATTAATAAAATTAATATCTTTAAATTAAAAAAATATAAAATTGACATATTTGTTTATACTTTTTCACCATAACAGTTGTTTAAAGTTTTAAATATAGAAAAAATTGTAAGAATGTAAAAGTTGCAATATACAGAAAAATCTTAAAATATTCAAGAAAGCTAACATCTGCAAATTAAAACCACAAAGTTTATTAAAATGAAGGAATCGGTAGCAAATGAATGAAAAGCACAATTCACATGCAAGATTTTATCTAATCACATCCAATCAAGGTCCCGTTTAGCATTGCAAAACTATTTCTACATGTTAGACATAAGAATAATTGGGTTTATAAATCAGAACACTGGAAAATAAGTTACAACCCCAGCAAAGTTCCAACATGATAGTTGCATTGTACTGAGTTAAGTAAAATGACACAAAGCAAATTAACCCACTATTCAGGTAAACACTAAGAAGACTCGCTTTAATATATATCCCATATAGTATGAATCATATGTTAAAAGTGACACTCAGCAGAAGAACTAAGAATTATATTTTACCAGACATTGCTAATGGATGCATCTAATACATATCCTCGTTGACCTATCTCTGTTCTCTTATGGAATCGAAGAAGCTTGAAAGATCAATAGAACCCTTAGAAAATGGTATGGAAAAATCGGTTTAAGAAATTCCCTTGCCACCCTTCACATACCTCTGTGTCCCAGAAAAAACCGACCCTGGAACCCACACTTCTATTGTCGCTGCTTTGCACCCTTTCAGCCCCAAAATGCACGCCGCCTCCCCCTCCAAGTGATCGCGCGAAGCCACTCAGGGCAGCAATTGGAGGAACAAAGACTAACGGGTGTGATGAACGTGTGTAAAATGAGCAAATCAAACGAAAATAGGGCCAAAGAACCATAAGAAAACTCCACAGAAAAATCTCAAAATCAACAAATACAATGCGCAAAAGCCTGAACAACATGGAGAAAAAGTGGATTAAGTACACTTTCCCCAAAATCTGGAACTGCAATTGAGTTTAAAAGACCCCCCCAAATGCCTAAAACGGCATCCAAACCCAAAAACACCATTGTCGTTTTTTTTATATAACATATATATATATATATATATATTAACTGTCGCGGCAATCACCACCAAATAAAACATTAAATGATGGAACTATTCATGATTCATTCAACAATTGTTTAACTAAAAAAATCACACCAAATTTCTGAAACCAAACTAAAAATGAAAAATCAGTTCAAATCAAACAACACTCCCTTACCAATTAACATAAATAGTTAACTGCCTGGTCAGAGGCCAATACAGGGTTGAGAGAAGACAAATCCAAAACTGAAAAATTTAACAACCAAAAGACGAATTAGAAACCAACCAACCACATGAACAACCACACCCAGAAAGAAATTAATAATAATAATAATAAAAGACAAAACGCATCCAGACTAAAAGGACTGAACCCCTCACAAGTTTGAGAAACTGTTGTGTATCCTTGGAATACTATTGATGTGAAATCTTGAACCAATAAAAAAAAAAAAACACCACGTTAACTCTTTTTTTAACACCTCATCAATCAATGAATCACCAAAGAAAAATTAAAGTTATGGTTTTTAGTTAGTTCGAAATACCACATCAATGATATAAATATATAAAAAAAATGTCTTAATAACAAAAATATTAAAATATTTAATTATAATAATTAAATATATAAATTTTAATTTATCAAATTTATCATATAATTATTTTTAAACATTTCTTTTCCCATATGCCCATACCTAAAAAAATAAAATCCAAATCCAATTTCTCTCCAGCAATCAGGATAATAAAGAGCGGCCGTCAAACTCACAGGGCTCCATAATCCACAGCAAAAATCACACACGGCGCTTCATCACTCCGAATGCAGGAAATGACGGAAAAGCCGATGAATAGAATGAGAAACAGAGGGCAGAAAGGACAAAAAGAGAAGGTGGGGCCCAGTAAACAGGCGGGCTTTGAAAATTCGCGTGAAAAGACGACTTAGCCCATACAAACAGGCCTGTGGCTGGAGGCTGGGCCCAAATTTTGTGAACAGTTTATCCACAGTTCCGGCCCTTTAAAAAATGAAAATAATGACAGTACAACAACCCAGTCAAAATAACACTGTTTTGGGGCATTTTTGGGAGTTCAAGTCGTTGGGCTTTTAGGGGCTGTTTGGTAATATTTCTTGAAACTTTTACTTTTTTTTACTATTTATTAGTAATAAATTTAAATTTTTATTAAAAAAAATTTAAAATTTGATTTTAGAGATAGAAAAAAGTAAATAAAAATTTATAAAAAATTTGAATATGAAACTTTTAAATTTTTACTATTTGAAGTTTTTTAAAAATTAAAAAAAATTTTAAAAATATAAATTTTTTTAAAAATATTTAATTTTATGAAATATAAATAATATTAAAAAATTAAAATTATAAGAAACAGAGGCAAACAGTCCCTTACACTTCTTAACTGAACTGGTGATGGTGATGATTAAACTAATTAACATCTCATTATATAATATAAATATATATTGATTTGTTGCACTAGCCTAGAGGCCCAATGGCACTTGCCATTGCAAAGTGCATTTCCCCCTCCCCATGTACAAAAAGTTCCAAATATATATATATATATATATATATTGATTTGTTATTCATTACTACTAATACAACTCATCTTCTATGTATGAATAGTTAATCAAAAATTATCTTGCAATCAATTTCTACCGGTGCAAAATAAGTAGTATCATAAAGAAATATTAGGTAGAGAGTAGTAATGAGAAAGCATGCAGATGCAGGTGCGTGGAGGAAACGGAGGGATGTTTCTCCACCATTGAAATTCCCTTGTCATGGCATATTTGGAAATTGGAATGTTCGCGAGTCGATACCACAGTTTCAGTTTCCTTTCCATTCATTCAGGATTCAACATTAACCTTTCTTTCCATTCATTCAGGATTCCACATTTACCTTTCTTTCCATTCATTCAGGGATTCGCTACCACAGTTCCAGTTTTCTTTCCATTCATTCAGGATTCCACATTTACCATTCAACAATAATGTCTGCGCATTATGGTTTGAGCGAGATCTGAGATCTGATTGATTTGTTATTCATTACATTGTTTTAGACCATTATAAAGTATAAACAACTTATAAACTGCTACTAGTGCAAATTAAGAAGCATACAATAGAGAAAGACAAGGTAGAGAGTAGTGATGAGAGAGCATGCAGATGCAGGTGGCTGTAGAAATGAATGAAATGATGATGATGAGGTTAAGTTTAGGGCTTTTCAGCATCATCCTGATCACTGAGTAATTCGGAGGCGCGAATTTTTGCACGGACTTTATCAATATAGGCTGAAGCTTTCCCGTTAATTGCATGGTCCGCCACCCCAAAACAACCGTTGTCGTCATCGGAACGGCACACTTTCATCTCCTCCTCCGCCCGGGAGTTGTCCACTCTATGATGACGCCGGGACTTGAAAAGACTGGCCACCTGAGAGAAGAAGGGCTTCTTCTGCCTGTTGTTGCCACCAACTTCCATGATTAACTATATATGTGAATAGTACAGAAACCCTGTTGTGTTGTTGGCTGAGGTTGAGGTTCTGAGAGTTTAAATATGAAAAATGATTTTGAGATAATTTTTTTATTTTATTTTTTTATAATTTAGTATGTTATTTATATAATTATTTTTTTTTATTTATGTAGATTTTGTAATATTAAATATATTTATTTATTTAATAATATATAAAAATTATATTAAAAAATAATATAAAAAAATTATCTCTATAACACCGACCTTTAAATATTTACAGAGTTTGAAAACCAATAGAAGTCTAAGGAAAATTCAAAGGCCTCCAAGATGAGACACGTGTACAAGGTTTATATTATTCCTCTTCTTTTGGGTAAAGCAAAGGTTTATATTATTCAGAATTGGTAAGACACAGGTTTGTCATCTCTTTTTTGAAAATAAGCAATGGAGACACAGGTTTAACTTATTCGGCAATTATACTGGTAAGACAAAGGCTCATATTATTCGGGAATTGGTAAGACAAAGATTTATATTATTCGGCAATTATATTGGCAAGACAGAGGTTTATATTAAGATACGGTGCCCGCAGGCAGTGGCCAAACCAAGAATCAATTTAAGGTAGGGCTTTTTCTTTCTTTAAACTTGGGCTTAGGCATTTTTTATCCCTATAAAAAGATTAAGGTAAGGCCTTTAATCCTTTTTTCCCCCAAAATCCTATGTTTTTAATTTTATTTTTTGATTGTTTAGAACCCATGGTAGGGCCCATGCCCAACCATGGATGTATGTGGCTCCGCCACTGCCTGCGGGAACCACTGTAAACTCGGTTAAAACAAATAATATGCATGTTAATTGATTAATGGCCAAAAGTAGGAGAGATAAGGATCTAGACTTGTACAAAATTCGTTCTTCTGGATTCAATCTTTAGTTGCGTTCAGTTCAATTAATAAAAGGCAGTGAGAAGTACAAGCTTGAAGATAATAGAAAGGCATTGAAAATCAGTTGAAATGTTTGAGAATCTGAGCGGGCAAAATCATACATATGTTAATTTTTGCTGATGAAATGAGAGGGAGAAAGGCAGTATAAAAATGAGGAATAGTGAAAGATAGGGAAGAAAAATCTCATGTTAGAAACGGATATTTTACTCATTTGCTTCTTAGTTGATTTTAATTTTTAGTTTTTAAATGTTAGTTTACAATTTTACAGTTTGATTTATGAAAAGCAACTCCATGAACAGAGTAGTTGTCATCACATTTTAGTTAAGATGATACCTTAGGTAGTAGCTTAATCATATTGTCTCTCCTTTCGCGCGCCATTTGGAATTAGTTTGTGGTGCAAAAGGCCAACGAATCTATACCAAAGAGAAGTCAAAGCATCACACTGTAAAGATTGGAAGAACTACGAAGCAAAAGGTTTTACTTTAATATGCTTTATATTTCTCTAAAGAAATAGCTTAGAGGGTACTTTGGGAGAAGACTGCATAAATTCACTTTTCGAATTGATCAAGTTGTCAATTTCTTCTCAAATTTGATGAAGAAGCCGTTATTTTTTGAAGACAGAATTTGCAACATTTTCATTAAGGATGAGGTTCTTTCAGTAGCCTTCCCCTGTGACTAGGGATAATGAGCACAGCTAATATTTAATTTTTTTTAAATTTTGCCATTTTAATCTTCCTACACCCTTTTTTAATGTTTATAATTATTTTTGTTACAGACATATGAAATATGGCTTGGTCAAGGATATGGTAGTTTGTAATATTAGGTTTATTTGAAAGAAGTAGGCCATTATGAGTAATTAACATAGTCATTATTAACATAATCAATTTTAAGTTCACAAAATTTTTCTAAAAATTAAAACATGCCTAAAGATGCTATTTATATTTTGACATAGCCTGTTATTAAAGTAATTAACTTTATATTTATAAATTTTTTTTAAAATTACAACGTTGATAAATATTCTATTTATATTTAAAATAAATAGAATTTATTTTAGGTTATTGGCAAGTTGGATTAACCTTAACCTGACACAAACTGCAGCTTACAAATACTCTCGTCTCATCTTCAATAAAAAACCAAGAAAAACTCGACTTGACTTTCGAGTGCAGGCTACAGGGGACATTTTATTTTATTTTATTTTTGATCAGCAAAGTAATCTATTTTATTTAATTTAATGGAGTATAAGAGATACTCCTGTCCTTTTACAAAAATGAAAACAATTACTCCCTGCACATTGAAAAAGATATTGCAGGTGCACAAAAAATATAAAAAACCCCCCAAAGAACAAGAATAATTAGTAAAGAACACACTTCTACTTAAGGAATGAAGTCATTTCTGTTGCTAATTAAACATCTTCAAGGATTTCTTGTATCGCTTCAGCTCCCTTGCACACTCCACGAGGTTACTTTGCCATTGGACCAACGAAAAGGCACATCCAGCCACCTTATTTCTTACCCAAAAGTGAGTCTTAACTCAAATCAACTCCAACAATTGCTCCCTAATATCCTCCTCCCCCTGAAATGCCAAAACATTTCTCCAATACCACAAATACCAAGCAGTAACAAGAAAAATGCAAGCTCCCATCTCCTTACCTACCAAACTGCCTAAACCACAGATGAAGATCTCTGCCACACCCTTCACTATATCCGGCATCACCACCTCCATACCCCACCACTTAATCATCTTAACCCAAACTAACCAAGCTTCCATACACATGCAAAATAGATGATCAACCTCCTCCACCCCCTTCTTGCATAAACCGCACATCATATTATCCCCCTGTAAGGTCACCCCTCGTTTTTGTAAATTCCCTCTTGTTGGGAGTCTATCTAAGCCCAACCTCCACCCAAAAATACTCACTTTAGAGGGCACCAACCTGCACCAAATCAATTTACACAACTGGCTCTCCAACAAGCATTCCGCAGGAGCTAAAAAGTCATATGCTTTCTTCACTATATACCTACCATCCACATCATACCTACCATCCACATCATACCTCCACTGCCAATAGTCACCTACATATTTCCTAAGCTGTATATTACCCAATACCTTCCACAACTCCTTTTCCTCATCTTGCTCTCGACCCATCCTTTCTCTCCGCCACCCTATTTCCCATCTCCAACTATCCCCTTCCCAAATCCCATACTTCTGAACCATACCCTCCTTGTTAGTGGCTAATTGAAAAAGTCGTGGGAATGAATCTCGTAAAGAATTATTCCCCACTTAAACCCCTTCACCAGCATAATTTTTAATCTATTGGATTTCCCACCTATACTAAGAATGTCCCCCCAAATCTTTGACACTCGAAGCTTCTCCACATCTGTAATATTGACCTCCTGCCCACCTTCATAATATTTCTCTTTCACTACCCGTTTCCATAACCCCTCCCTTTCATCCCCTAACCTATACCACCATTTTCCTAACAAAGCCCAATTTCTACGGCGTAAATCTGGAACTCCTAGTCCTCCATTCACCTTGCTACCACAAATATCCTCCCATTTCACCCACGATATCTTCATTTTCTCCTCATTCCCCCCGCCCCCACCACCCCACAAAAAAACCCTTTGAATTGTAACCAATTGAGCATGCACAGAACTTGGCATAAAAAATAAAGACATAAAAAATGTAGGTAGAGTAGAGAGTGTCGACTAAAGTAATGTGAGGCGACTGCCAAAGGACAGCAAGGTAGATTTCCAGACGACTAGCTTACCACGAAACTTACTAACAATTGGATCCCAAAACTTCTTGCTCCTTGGATTTTCACCAATCGACATTCCCAAGTAAGAGAAAGGTTTCACCCCTATACCACACCACAAAACACCTACAGCTCCTCTTACCCAACTCTTTGTCACATTGAATCCATAGATACTGCTTTTGCTGTAGTTAATCCTCAACTCTGACATTATCTCAAACCATCTTAGAATAGCTTTGACCATAAGAACATTTTCACTGGCAGCTCGTCCCAAAATAACCATAACATTTGCAAATTGTAACAAAGAAACCGTCAGCCCCCTTTTACCAATCTCTATTCCCTATAACAATCCATCAGTCTCTGCTTTTTTAACCAATCCATTTAACCCCTCCATAATCATCAGAAATAAAAAAGGAGACAAAGAATCCCTTTGCCTCAACCCTTTCTCCAATTCAAACTCCTCCGTCGGGCTGCCATTTACCAACACCGAACACCATGCAGTTGAGAGACACTCCATAATCCACCCCCTCCATTTGGCTCCAAAACCAAATCTATCCATCATCCAATCCAAATATGACTAGTTAACACAATCATAAGTTTTTGAAAATCTGCCTTAAAAACAAAAGCTGGTATCTTCCTATTCCGAACCTTATCCACAACTTCGTTTAAAACCAGGACACTGTCAACTAATTGTCTTCCCCCAACAAAAGCAGATTACGTTTCACTGATAATCTCTGGCATTACATTTTTAAGCCTATTAGCTAGCACCTTAGACAGTAATTTGTACACACAACCTATCAAACTAATAGGCCTAAAGTCTTTCAACTCCCTAGGATTCAGCTTTTTAGGGATTAACGTAAGGAAGGAAGAATTTAGCCCCCTCACTAACTTGTAACTTGGATGAAATTCACGAAAAAATTCAACAAAATCATCCTTAATACTATTCCAGAAAAATTTAAGGAAATTAAAATTATACCCGTCAAGCCCCGGGGCTTTACTTCCATCACAGCTCTTCAATCCTTCTTCAATCTCCTCAACAATAAAGGGTCTCTCAAGCCATTCCGTCTGCTCTTCAGAAATTCTCTTGAATTCAATATTTGAAGGCTTGGGCCGATCCCAAGATTCTTCTTGAAACATCTTGCGGAAGTAAAAATTCACCTCTTTCTTAACCATATCTGGTTCCTCTACCCAGTGACCATCACACATTACTCCCTGGATACTATTATGTGCCTTTCTCCCATTTGCAACCTTATGGAACTACCTCGTATTCTGGTCCCCCAATTTAACCCAATCACTTCTTGATTTTTGCTTCCATATAGCCTCTCTCATCCTCAAAATATCCCATATCTCCTGAAAACCTTCTTTCCTTTGTTTCACCTCACTTCCCTCCAATTCTACCACTTCATTTTTCAAATCAATCTTTTTGACTTTTTCTACAACATTTTTGAATTGTGTTTCCATGTTCCCAAACACCTCCTTATTCCAACCTTTTAGAAATTCTTTTAATCTCTTTAGCTTCTGCAAGCATCTATATCCAGCATACCCTTCCACATTTAATTCTTTCCATTTGTCTTCCATTACCTTCCTAAATTGTGGGTGCTGTTGCTATGCATCAAACACTCAAAAAGGCTTCGGTCCCCAATCTGCTGCTGTTGTCTTGACCATAATCGAATAGTGATCTGACACAGTCCTCTTCAATCCTTCCTGCATCCATTCCCTTCCCAAATTGCACATCTCATCCGACATCAAGATCCTGTCTAACCGACTCATAGATGATCCGTCCGGCCTATACCACGTGAAACCTCTATTGACCAACTTTAAATCCACCAAACCAGCTGACACAATAAAATCATCAAAATCCCTCATTTCCATTGTCTCCCCCGTCTTACCCTTCCATTCATTTGCACACCTAATAGCGTTAAAATCTCCAGTAATCAGCCATCGGCCTTCCTCTTCCAATATCATATGCCGAAGTTCTTCCCATAGCTTGACTTTCTTCAGTCTATCATTTGGAGCATAAATATTCACCAAATTACACTTCAACTTCTGTGATCCCCATTCACCTGAAAAACCCACAAACCTGTCACCTGAAAACTTCCCTTGTTTCACAAATTCCAAACCATTCCAGACACACAACAAACCTCCAGATGCTCCTATCGATTCCTTCATCACCCAATCAAATTCATCTCAAAACCACAGCATTTTACATAGATTCCCCTCCACCATCTCTAATTTTGTCTCCTGCAAAAATAAAATATCTGGGCACTCAGCTCTTACCAATTTACCCACCTCCTTCCTCTTCAACACACTCCCTAACCCCCTCACATTAAATGATATTAATTTCATAAAAACATAAAGCATTATCGAATCACCTATACCCTTTCTACCACCTCCCCTGTCCTTCGTCCTTCACCTCCAACGCCATTAATCTTGACTGAACTTCTTCATCATTTTCACCCACTTCTATACCCAAGCGTTTGCCTAAACTAAATATCCTTCTTACCTCCTGTATGTTCATCTCCCTGTGAATCACCTTGTTTCTGTGAGCTATGCACCCGTCGAACAAAGAACTCCCAGCCCATTGATCCTGCACCGCCACCCCATTCTGGACTTTCTGCTGTTCTTCCTGGTTTCGATGATGTCGCTACATAGTTGTGTCTGAGCTCCCTTGAGCCCTCACTTCACTTCTTGCGAGCTTCTCTTGTGGGTGGCAAGCTTTTAGTTCTTTCTTTTTTTTCTCTCTCGAATCCCTAGTTCCCAAATTGACATCATTATTTAATTCTCCCTCAAATGTCCCCTGCATTGCACCTAATTTGCCGATTTTGTTCTTCGGCCCATTCCCCATGTCCCCTATTTCCTGCACTTGAGAAATACTCACATTCAGCCCAAACTCATCTTCTGGCCCATCTTTCGAATCCCTTATTAGGCCCTTTTGATTATTAAGCCCATCCAACTCCTTGTTCTCATCTCTCACAGACCCCATACCCTCTGTTATTACAGCTTTTTTTGAATTCGAATTTCCCTCTGCCTGTAGTCGTTCCCCATCAATCTCATCTTCATCATCACCTCGAATCATGGAATAATTAAATTCGTGATCCTCTTCACCCTGTTCCGACGAGGAAATATCGGATTCCGTTTTTGTCTCTTCCCTCCGATCATCCTCTGACAGCCACCAATCCGGATCGGCCCTCCACTCTTCCTCCGTCACTCCTATCTGATACAATATCTCCTTCACTTTTAACTTCAATGTTTTTACAATTTTGTGCATTTCATAACATAAAATCAACACTCTTCCATCACACAAAATCGATTTGGATTTTGTATCTTCATGCACCATTACTACTTCCCCTAATGAAGCTTCTATCTTCTCAAAACATCGATCACTCCAAGCTTTTAATGGAACTCCAGATATTCGCACCCAAACCATTCTACCACAATTCTGAGGTGCCACATCCCATGAATGTATTCTCTCACACCAGAGCTCAAATAACTCTTTGTGTTGTTGCATCTACTCACTCAAGTATCCCTCCAACCTCTCAGTTAATAATAAGCTTCTCCCTTCCAATGGTGATATATTTATCAAACCCCCATCCACATCCATTCTCTCTTGAATAATAGAGATCATTGACATGGACTTAACCACTACTATCATGCTCCCCTGCAACCACTGATTCTCCTCTTTCAATGGATAAAATTCTATAATTTCCTCCCTATTGTTTCCCGTGTTCACAACTCCCTCCTTGTCACCAGGGCTTTCCCCCTTAAGATTCACAGACTTCCTTTGATTAATAGATATCCTATCCATAGCTGTAGATTTCACCTTCTTTTCTGCTTGTTTATTTGGAACCAGAGCACTAACTTTCCTTGAAGATCCCATAACAGCCTGGACATATGACAATCCTGGTTGTACAAACTGCTACTCCCTGACACCCACTTTCAACCCAGCATTCCTTCGATGCCTAATCCCTCTCTATACCTTGTTAGTCACAGCCTTCTTCCCAGCATTCATCTGATTTCCTATCCCTCTCTACCCCCTGTCAGATGCCACTCTTGCCTTCAGCTTATAGGATCCGATCCATATCCTATTTAGTCTCTCTTCTAGTTGCTTAACATCCTGCACCCCTAGCATTTGAACAAATCCAAACCGTTTCCCGCATCTATCTCTCTTACCTAGAACAAACACATCAACAACCTTTCCACAATTCTGAAATCGGTACCACAAAGCCTTTGCATCCCAATCCTTTGGGAAATTATAAATGAAAAACGATTCTACCTGTCTCTATGTCCTATTCCTAGAATTTCCAATCCTCCAGTTGTGTCCTTGCCGCCATCTAGATCTGCCGTCACCCTGAGTCGCTGCACCCCACGCCATCGTCTCTTTCTTTTGTGAGGAAAAAGTTAAATAAATTGACAGGGGACATTTTATGAGTACATTATTTCTCAATTTAAACTGTAAACCAGAGACTTGGATGCCAAAAGGCCCAATATTCATCCAACATAATTCCAAAATGGGTCAACAATCTTTGCAAAATTAACTGAGTCGCTATGTCTTGTTGAAACCCTAACAGGTTTAGGTTTCTATTTCTCTAATAACTAAAAAGTTGATACTTTTGATTCTTACATCCTTTTTCTAACAACTAAATTAACAACCTTTTTCTCTGTATTAATGTATGTAGGTGATACAACTGAATTCAAGATGGACTACAACAACAGTTGAGATATGCGCCACAACCCAAAAGATTAGGTCTTCCTGTAGCACTATAGGATGGATGGATGGATCTTTTGCATAATTGTTTTTCTTGTTGTATTAAGTTTGCCAGCTTAAATGGGTTTTCCTGAGGACCAAAATCAATTAAATGACAAACAATTAAAAATTTCTTTCTTTGTAATTGCAAATATTGCAGGGTATGCCATATTCATGGAGTTCTCGTCATTTCACTTTTATTCTTTCGTAAGCTTTTTCTCTTTTGATCATTTTCCATTGTATATTCCAGTTTAGAAGGTTAATAATTGTTTTGACATTAGAATAATTTTTATTTTTTCATCCAAGCGTTAATGTGGGTGCTATTATCGAATGTACAATTTCTGGACTACTTCCTTCTGCAAATGAAGTTGTTAAATACTCCTCCTCCCCTTTCTTCTCTCTTCTCATTTCCCTTTTTTTTTTTTTTT